CAACTTTGGAGAAGATTTTCCAGGACTAAAAAGTAGTCTTATATGCCAGAAAATAAGGTAATGACATATTTTCTCATTAACGTACCAATAAAATTATAAGTACATTAAAAGGTATAAACGAAATTCCAAAATAGATGCAAGCAGCAATATCTACCATCAGGAAAAGCAATATCAATGTGTCCAGTAAAAGCACCAAAAAGGCATCGAAATTGAAAAGCAAACCAGCCTCTAGTGTATTTATTATTTATGTAATAATGCTAATAAACAAGGATTGAGATGGCATCAGTACAATGGCAGTAGTGGCATGAAACTTGTTCTACGAAATTGCAAATATTTTTGCTTAGAGGAAATTTGGCTCGTTCTGTTTGCAAGACTCCTGAATAATTCACCCAGACCTCTTACCTAAGAGTGACCTCAGTAGCAGAGTGCTATGAACACTTACTCAGAAATAACTCAAAAATAAGTGGATCCTCCTTCATAGTTTCAGTTGGACAGTCAACTACCAGGGACCCTGTTCTAGTGAATCAGGAGTAAGAATCTGGTACCTTTATTTTATAAGAATTTTTAAAAATCCAGATATTTCTTCTATCATTCAACACAAAGAATAAAGATAGAAAAATATTCTGAATTATTTGTTCCCAGATTGAATAATTGGCTTCCAAACAATCAGAAAATCTCCAAAAAGAAGAAGTCTTCTAATTTCAATGTGTATTCAACCTTGTTTGTGACATTAAGATTGCCCTGTCTTATTTTCTAGTAGGTTTTTCTTATAGATTTCTATTACATGACAGGAAGGTACAACATGCTTCTATCCATACTGGGAAAATATGTATCTACTGAATTTGGCTAGTACCAGCAGTTGAGAAATTTGCTTAGTTCTTGTGTGAGTACACATTTCCATACATTTGATGGAAATAACTTGAGATTTTTAAAAAAAAAAATAGTGCAAGAAAGTGAACTGCTTGCTTCATTTGCACATAATCAGCTGGAGCCTGGAACTATTTTGCTTTTGCAGTTACTTGCAGATCTATGCATTACCCCCCATACAGACCTTGCTTTACGATCTAGAGAATAGAGATCCAGATAACATATTTGTAAGAAACTGTATTTCACTTAGACGCTAGAGGGCATCCTTTGTATACTGAATGGCATAAAAGACAATGTACAAACCCTGATTATTTTGGAGTAAATACATTGCTAAAACGTTTAAGCAGCCAATTACATACTCCCTCCAGTTCAAAATTATAACCACTATATTAACTGTTCCAGTAAAATATGTAACAGATCTATTGAGGGTTTATTTGTGATGCAAGCAATGCAATTACAACTTCCCCCTAGGTTACCAAACAAAGACTTTCATGGGCAGGTGAACCTACTTTAGCCTAATATTTTTGCAGGCTGCAGGACAGCACTCACTATTTTTAAACTGTTTAGTTCCATGCACATATTGTACCAAAAGGGAAAACTCTATCAGTAATTACTGGGAGGAAAATATAGGATGACATAAGCAGACAAGACGACTCTGAAGTTTCCTTTTTTAAAAATGTGTCTAGCTGTTTTGTTTTCACAAGATTCCAAAACATGAAACAACTCTAATTGGATACAGAGATTTCTGCAGAGTTTGTAAGTAAGCCTGAAAGTTATACAAACTTGTGTAACGAACTGCCTTGTATACATCAATGGATACTTACTGGCTGAGAGCACTTAGCAAGTGCACTTTTTAATTATCCTCCTCAGCATTTGTAACTGCATCCACTCTATACAACATTTATACATATACTGATTCTATGCATTCAAATATATAGTCGTGTAAGTCTGTAAAATCGGTATGTAGAGAGATCTTGTACCACCTTTGAGACTAACTGAAAGAAAGAAGTTGGCAGCATGAGCTTTTGTAGATTTCAGTCTACTTTCTCAGATGCATTACTATGCATATATGTCTGAAAGAAAAAGGAACCCCCACCCCAAAGAAAATACTATAGATTGTGACTGATAGGATAAGTTAGCTGTATGTAGCAGACAGAGCCAGTGTGGTGAAGTGGTTTGAGTGCTGGACAAGGACATTGGGAGACCCATGGAAGACCAGCTTAGTATGGAAACCCATTAAATAAAAGAAAGTCATACTTTCTTAATTTAATAAGGCAATAACAAGCTGTTTGAATAAATCTTGCCAAGCAATCCCTATAACAGAGACACCATAAATCTGAGTTGACTTGAAGACATATAACAATAAGAAAACAAAATTGCAGACAAAACAGGAATGAAGACACGAGAATGGTCAAGATTTCTCTCCAAAACTACATAATTTATTTTCTTAAGGAGAAACCTCAGCCACTTGGAAAACACAGTGAACTACCTAATCAAAGACATTTTAACTCTAAAAAGCTAAATGAACCCACAATATTCAGAGCATTTCAAATTAATATTATAGCATAGTCCAAAGTTTTCCTCAAAGGGGATGCATGCAAACACATCCCTATTAATATTGGCAAGAGCTAAGAAGTAAGAATGGATTGAAACATAACAAGCTGCCTTGACCTACTTGTCCAGCTAGTTCAAAAATGGTGTAACTTTGAAGGTCTGAGGGCTAATTCCTGATTAAACCCTACTTGGAAGCAGAAGTGCTTTGGATTTTGGATTTTAAAACCCTTTGTTAGAGCCTTTGCAGAGATCCAAGAAATTTTTACATATAGCCCTCCAAAAGAATGTAATGAGTGGATGCAGAAGTGAGAACAACCAGCAAAACCCAAAGATCAGAGAACTTACGCTTCTTTAGACTAATCTGGAAGAGCCAACAAAAAGTTTTACTTGGAAAGAAGCCTAATTATGTTAACAGAATTTATTTACAGGTAACTGACATTATGGGCAGCCTTAGCAGGCTTCCCTTTGTCTCCTCAGGTTACGTTTGGTACAAAACATTATTGTCTTACTGTCTGCCTCTTATATCAAATAGCCATTATTTCCTAAGTCCCTCCTGGGTTATCTCATGAGGAATATATTTACATCTTCTTAATATAAACACACCAAACATGGGGGGGGGGGGAGTGCACTGATACATGAACATAAAGAAAGTGAAAATCTATCTATTTAACATACTTTGTTTCTCTATAAGTTGTAAAAATTTCTCCATCCAGTATCAAGAGAGATTAATGCAGCTCTTTAAAATGAAAGCTGAGACCCTTCATAGTCCAGCAGGAGGGCTGTAGTGCACAAAATGGCGCTGGAGAATGGACAAATTGTTGGCCAACTATGTGTTACACAGTTCATTCCTGACTTATGAGGTCTGACCCTGCGTAGTTCAGGTTTAAAGATCTACTTGGATACACTTGGGTTTGGTCTCAGGTTAGACATAAAGCTGAAATCAGTGAGCAGAATCCAAACAATATATTAACTCACTAGGGAGAAATTTGTATTGGTCTCCGAAGCCATTTCCATAGCCAAACCAACAAGCAGTTTAAAAAGAGAAGAAAATGTGTATGCAGAGATCTGGCTGTTTGAGCATTTCTCTCACATGAACATAAAGCACACACACACTGAACACTGGCCAGAAATGTTTTTTAATGCTCAGGCAGGCATACAAAAATAGACTGTATTAAGTTTACTATATGCTAGTCTGCTCAGAAGAACCAATACATTTGCTTCTAAGGTAGGGGTTTTTTTTTTTTTGGACAATACTATTACCACTTTGTAAACATAGGCTTTGTTCTCTCATTAAAAGTGTTACACTATCTCTATGATGGACATTGTAGTACTGTTCTAAATGCCATGATAGTCTTGCACCTCTACTATGTCACAGAAACAATCAGTTCAGTACTGGAGCCTTTTTTCATTTTACATTTTTACAAAATGTATGATTCCTATTTAAATTGTAGTAATTATATCTACATTTGCACAGACACCTAAATTTGCATATGACAGTGCAATGTAAATATGCACCCTCTATTTCTGGTACACACCCTCTATTTCTCTATTCCCATTTCTTCATTTTTGGGCAATGCTTTAATTGTTGTTATTGTGTGCCTTCATTTCTGTCTTATGGTGACCCTAAGGCGACTCTATCATGATGTTTTCTTGGCCAATTTCTTCAGAGGGGGTTTGTCATTGCCATCATCTGAGACTGAGAGAGTGTGACTTGCACAAGGTCACTCAGTAGGCTTACATGGCCAAGCTAGGAATTCAAACCCTGGTCTTCAGAGTCCTAGTCCAACTCTCTAACCATTGCACCACACAGGCTCTTTAATGCTTAAATTAGCCACTCTTATTTATTTCCCTTCTTTGTGATTTGCCATCTTTCTAAGAGAATCCCTTTTTTTCTTTGCTTCTCTTATTCAACATTGCTGCTCACTACGGTAATTTACATAGTTGAGTGATAAGCTGCAACTCGTACAGGTCATCAGCACCCTAAGGTCAAGAAGCTGAGAGTGTCAGCCAGAAGCCATGGAAAGCAACTAGAGAGGGAAATGCTGAAGAATAGCCAAAATGCATTTCTATCTCTGAAGGTAATCAAAGTGGAGTCTCAGAGAGCGGCTTCTGCTATGAAGGAGCATCAAACATTGCTTCCAGCATCCAAAATGTGTTTCTGGCTTGCCCTTTCTGTAGGAGGTGATGGCTGAGTGAAGACTGAGCTGCAGATGTCTTCAGCTTGCCCATATACTAGGTCATTCTCCAGATGTTCTCACACATTGCCCGGCTGTGTCTCCCACTGTTTCAGAGAGAGGAATAAAATGTTTGGCCAACAGAAATTCTCAATACGCTTAATTCATAGGAAAGTCCTTGTAAGATAACAGTGCTCACTATTTAAACCAGGGGTAGGCAACCTTTTTGAGCTGGGGGCCGGGTTGCTGTCCCTCAGACAATTGGGGGGCCGAAGCACCATAAATAAATAAATAAATAAATATTAAAAATAAAATAAAATAAAAAAATAAAAAAATATGTATGCACACTCTCTCAGCCCCAGAAAACCCACGGCAAAACCCCTGTGGAAATTTTGCCAAGAAAACCCCAAGAACAAGTAATAACAACAATAATCAATATCATCATGAGGGGAGGCAGCAGGGGGCGGCGGCGGCGGCGGCAGGACCAGCCTGGGGCCGGTCCAAAGGCCTTGGGGGGCCGCATCCGGCCCCCGGGCCTTAGGTTGCCTACCCCTGATTTAAACAGAATGCCAATGCTTTCACAGTTCTGGTCCAAGGACTAAATCAGATTTGATGCTCTTTCTCTCTCTATTTTGCATTTAACTTGCTTTGTGAATCAGCACCAATGGAAGATTTCTTTTCAATGCAAATAGCAGCTGACAAAGGAACTATATGAAGAATGAAGCAAAGGAAAAAGATGCCAAAGAAGTTACACAATTCCAGCAGACATGACTGTTTGTGCTCACAGTAAAGGCTGGATCAGGGGTAGGCAACCTTTCCCCTTTAAGGGCCGAGGGACTTCAGCTCCCAGAATCCCAGGAGCTATTGGCCAACATGGGACTATTGGCCAACATGGCTGAGGCTTCTGGGAGCTGAAGTCCTCGGCCCTTAAAGGGCAAAGGTTGCCTACCCTGATATACAGTAATCAATGAACCACAACCAATTCTGGAGAATAACACAGCCTTCTCAAAAGTTCTGGAGGCAGGCGTTTTATTGGCCTACAGACAGTCTCCAAAACTTAAACAACTACTCACTTACAACAGGATACATAACATGGATGATAATATAGGGACAAGGCCCTGCCACAAACCCAGATGTCAACTCTGTTGCCAACTCTACTCTTGGGCAATATTACAGGGGCCAATAATATCTCCCACAATTCACTTGTTTTTCCTCCAATAATAATAATAATAATAATAATAATAATAGAATTTATTTTTATCCCGCCCCTCTGCAATGCAATGGGGGAAGCTTACAATATTAAAATCAAAACAAATAAATGCCATCCTATGTCAGCACTGCCTATCTACATACAGTCTATACCAGGGGTAGGCAACCTTTCCCCTTTAAGGGTCGAGGGACTTCAGCTCCCAGAAGCCTCAGCCATGTTGGCCAATAGTCCCATGTTGGCCAATAGCTCCTGGGATTCTGGGAGCTGAAGTCCCTCGGCCCTTAAAGGGGAAAGGTTGCCTACCCCTGCATTAGCAGCAGTATAAAGAAAGGCAATGGCTTCATGGTATCCTACATGTATTAATTAATATAAAAGTCCTTGCTACTGCACATGTAACAAAAGGGATTTCCAGTTTTGTGAGATATTTAGACTTCTCTATCACAAAACTCTGGTGCCACAAAAAACTACAAATCCCAGAATTCCATAGGATACCAACCATAGACTGCAGGTATTTTCTGGTACAACTTGCCAAGAAAGCCCCATATCTAGAACCCCAAAGAGCAGCTGCCAAGTTTATGTAGACAATACTAGTTAATTCTTGCACACATTGAATACTGGAAGAAGTCATTTCTCTTTGCCTCATCATCAAATCTTTGGATCTTGCCAAAAAAAAAAAAAGGGGGGGGGAAGGGAGGGGTAATATAATCTCCCCATTAAAATAACAGTGATATTTATCAGGAACTGTTATTTAAAAAAGAACAACACACACCTTTTCCAGGCAGAAGAAAAACCTTTGGAGAATACAAATTACTCTCTAGAGCCACTTTCAGATATTTAAAATATTTGGAAGTGAGTCTTTGGGTTTCCTTGTGCTTTTTCAGCTGCAATTATTTTAAAATAGCAAGCCATTCATATTATTAGCATCATCCTCTCGAAGTATTTTTTCTCCCTGAAGAGTTCCTGACAGGAAATTACTAATTAATTTCATCATTATTTTGCTTTCCTTCAGAATATACATAATATTGCTTAGCATGACCTTGTCTACTATTTTCCAGCTTAAGATTGTGCAAATCATGAGATCTATATTGGAGTGTCCTGAATGGCCTGCCACAGCTTCCTCTTTTATAGTGAGGCCAAAAGGATTACATTGATTTAATAAAATGCAAAGCCATGAAAAAATGAAAAAAGTGCTGACACAGCAGGCTGCCAGGATTAGACTCTTGGTTTCAACACAGTGCCATTTTAACAGATGAAAATAATTGAGTGGAAACTTATTAAAATATTCTCTTTCAAGTCTCTTCTGCCACACTTTAAAGCTAGTCAAATTCAATTTGCTTTGCAGAGCAAACTCAAAAGTAGAACAGGAATCGCCAGCATAGGATGTCACTAGGGAATAAAACCAAGTTTAGAAATTATTACTATGACTAGTTTTAAAGTTTCAGCACCAATCTAACAGGCAAAGATAACCTCACACTTAGATAACTAGATCTTCTGCCCCATCACAGAATCATAAAGTGGGAAGACACCTCGAGGGCCATCAAATTCAACCCCCTGCTATGCAGGAATATACAATCAAAGCATCCCGGGCAGATGGCTATCCAGTCTCTGTTTAAAAACCTCCAAAGAAAGACTCCACTATACTCCAAGGGAATGTGTTCCACTGTTGAACAGTTCTTATTGTCAGGAAATTCTTCCTAATGTTGTGGTGGAATTTCTTTTCCTCTATAGTTTGAATGCATTGCTCCGGGTCCTAGCCTCTGGAGCAGCAGAAAACAATCTTGTTCCATCCTCAATATGACATCCCTTCAAATATTTAAACAGGGCTATCGTAACACCTCTTATCCTTCTCTTCTCCAGGCTAAATATACCCAGCTCCCCAAGTTCCAGACTTTCTACCATTTTGGTTACCCTTCTTTGGACATGCTCCTCTGGACAGCATGACATCTCTCTTCCCACTTTATATAGCTATGGACATTTTTATTTGGACAGGCTCTTTGTGTTAATTCTCTCTGCTTTTAAACTCATTTTATGCCATATGAATGTAGGAGTGATGTTTTAAACTTTCCTCCACTAAGCCCTACTCTACTGTCTCATTGTGGGAGTGTGACCCTGGGCTCCTCAAAATGCCCAGCACAAAGCTTAGCCAAGTCCTATCAATACAGCAGGACCATAAAAGAAGGCTGTGGGATGACTGTTCAAGGATCAGCCTAGTGAAGTACCAGCAAGGCTTATCACCAGAAGGGTTACAATGAATTGGCCACAACAATTAGGAATACAACCATGGGGTAGAATTTAGAGACACAGCCATGCTAGTCTTGAATATCAGTATGCAAAGGGATTATATAGCATTTTTGAGACTGTTGACACAGTCTCAAAGCTTCTACACAATCTCTTTGCATACTATTCTAGACTATGAGCCATATTTCTGAATTCTACTCTACTGGAAAGCAAGGACCCAATTCACCCGGATGGAGCTGAAATCAATTGGCATCTTCACAACACTTGCCCAGGTACAGAATTGTATCTGAGGAAAGAGACCAAGTTTATGAAAGCTTACGTTACAACCTCAATAGTCTCAAAGGTGCTACAAGATCCCTTTGCATAATGGTGGAGAATAGCTCCAACCTGGATTGGTAGAGGGACTAATCTGCACTAATGAAATTGTGGATCTTTGAAGTGATTTATTGTTTATATTTTAATATGGTTGATATGGCTATATTAACACCCCTGTGTGTCACTTTCAATACATATTATAAATATGAAGAAAAGTAGTGTAAAGGTCACACAGAGTTTCTTTTTTAAAATGTCAAGAGTAAGGGCTTCTCTACTGAAAATCCTCCATTACCTTGCGTCTTTAACTTGGTTAACTATTGGTGAAAAACTGCAGCTTGAAATAAATATTCCAGAGCATTGTCAGGTTCAGTTTTAACTCATGCTGAAGCTCACAAGAAGGGCAGGAATTTGTTGAACTTGACAAGAAGGTCCCACAGATCACTCCCAGTCCCTAAGCACTAGTTAAGCCTTACATATTTGCACAAGGCTATTTCATATAAAGTCTTCCAAAATGCAGGAAAAACAATGCACGAAATGAACACACATCAAGCTGAAATTCTTTGAAAGGTGATCCATTTATGTTTGTTCAAGTTGAATTTTTTTTTGTTTAATTTTATTTTTCAAATAAAGAATGCAAATGAAAAATAAAGAAAAAAGCAACTATTTCAGATCCTGATATGTCTGCTGCCAAGAAACCATGTTTTGTAAGCTGGCTTTGGTTTAGATGTTAAAATAGCCTTGCTTTAGCTAAACGTATTCAAGGGTAACCATGATGGCCATACAGCAAAGTTCAATAATACTTTTATTGGACCAACCAAAATGCATAAAATATATGTTGCAAGTGTTCAAAGCTCCACTGGCTTCTTCATCAGGCA